TCCAAGCCGTTTGTGATCTATTCAGATCATGCGTCACTACGCACTGCGACTCAGTCGCGCCACCTCTCACACATGATGGCTAGATGACTATCCTTCGTTGCGGAATATAACTTCGAGGTGAAGTTTAAGCCGGGAACGCAGAATGTTTTGGCTGATGCGCTGTCACGCAGACCAGACTATGAGCTTGCTCATGTTACAACTGTAACTTCGTCTGTGACAGATTTGATCCGCACCGCGTATGCGGGTGATGGGATCTATGTAGCGTTGCTACGGGCTCTAGGGAGCAAAGCGTTTGGAAACTCGGACAAAAAACTGTCATCAAGACTGCGTACACGATTGCACCGATATTCGTTAAATAACGGTTTGCTATATTATAGCACCGATTCAACGAATTGTGGCTCCTCATGATCAGGATTTGAGATACCGCATCCTCGATGAGGCTTTCGACACACCACTCAATTCATCTCGGTCTTGAGAAAACGTACAACTCTGTGCGTCACCACTATTGGCGGTTCAAGCTATACAAATGGACGAGCACCTATGTGCGCACGTGTGAGACGTGTCAACGGGTGAAATCGCCTTCAAATGCGGCTGCGTCGCTGGCTTGCTTATCGGTTCCCACTGGGTGCTGGCAGTTCATGAATTTGGATTTTGTGTTTGGCCTGCCGAATCTTTCGGCGAGCATCACGGGCGTCGTCGTATTCGTCGACCGGTTGAGCAAGATGGCTCATTTGGCGGCGGTGCCAGACACCATTAGCGTGGTCAGTACAGCAACGCTGTTCGTGGATCGTGCTTTCCGACAACACGGACTCCCAGAGTCAATTGTGTCTGATAAAGACCTCCGTGTCACGAGAAAATTTTGGCCGTCTATCATCAAGGTGATCAGCACCAAGTTGGAGATGTCGACAGCGGATCATCCGCAGACCGATGGTCAAACCGAAAGGGTGAATCGCGTCACCAAAGACGTTCTCCGCAGCGTCTGCGCTGAGACGCTGAGGCGCTGAAGCGCCATGTTGCCATTCGTAGAGTTTGCACTGAAGAATGCAGTGCATTCGTCTACCGGCTACACGCCGTTGTACGTGAACGGGCTGATTCACCCTCGCGTCCCGCCGACGCCGCTATCCCATCGCACAGAGCTTGGTGGGG